TAGATATCACTGAGTTTTTCTCTTCATCCCCAGGGCGTGCAACATGGACAAAGCATATTCGCAACGGAGTTGAGTTACCAGAAATTGCAAGAGATGACCACTACGATTTTAACTTTCAGGTAATATATACGTCATACCACAGGTGCTACTTAATGTGGCACAAGATCCACTATTAGCATCTAGAGGATTGACGAGAATTATAGTATATGGCTCCTTTAAAAAAACAATTGGCAATAGTATGCTGACGGCCGCTCATCAACTTATCCTATATCTCACTTCAATTAATTTTTCCAATGAACAACAACTAATTTTTTTTACGACATCCAGAATACTCGATCTTAGTTTAGTTATTATTTAGTTACATCCAGAATACTCGATCTTAGTTAGTTATTTCCTATGATTTTACCTCGTCAGTAAAAACATCGATGCCTATCGTGAAGTCATAAGATAACTCTTCCACAGAAATCTCGCGATGGTATTTAGGGATAAAAAAGTAATTAAAGAGTCAAGTGCTTCGTTCAAGTGTCGAAACATGATACATCGCTGGACCCCCGAAGTGATTTCATAAAAAAAAACAAAACAAAACAAAAAAAAACAACAAAAAAAAAACACGTATACTCATTTTCCATCAGTTCTAATACTTTCACCCGTTGCTTCGCAGGATATACAAGTTTTGAGAAAGGAGGCTCACGTCAAACCGGTTTGAGAAATCCCTTATTTTAACGCCACCTTTTTTATAATAATGTTTAATTAAGCTCAAAAACGCATACCTTGTATCAGTTAGGCGAAATGTCCCATTGATTTAGTTATCTCACCCAATTGAAAGCTATCAGATACGTGATACCCACGTGACCATTTCAAATTGGTATCCAAATGTGCAAAGGTGATGATGCAACAACCTTGTATATCAGATACGAATCAACTTAACGGCCGGCTCCCAATTGGCTTGTTAGCTCAATTGGTAGAGCGCTGCACTAGTATCGCAGAGGTCAGTGGTTCGAATCCCGTACAAGCCTGATTTTTTTCAGGTCTGATTTTCGCTATTGCATGAATAGCGCTCTCTACTGCGAGGATCGTGCATCATACGTAACCTTGTATATGATAAGTTTACGGGTCTTTTTATCAAATTAGATTAACTTCAGTTGATCTTTCCTATTAGATGATCGCCATATAATTGTGAAATCTACAAGTTTTTTCCCTCCGCTGACGTTTTTTTTTTTATCCTTCAGGGGGATGACTTAATTCATTTCTGCAAATACCAGACGATGGATCGTGATAAACTCGTGCGGGCAAGTGTGATTTCTCATTATCCCAAGCTAGGTATTGGTATCATCGTAGATACCTTTTTCAATCAGTATTTCAAGCGTTTGCAATCAAAACATACCATCTTTTATATTTAACTATACCTGCTGCCTGACAGACTGACAGATGATGTAACTTCTATTCCACTTACAGGCTGGTATCTCCACGACCGAAGAAATGTGTCTGAATTACATGTTTTACTACCCTCGAATGGTGAATGCTTCAGCATATTGCTCCAGCACTCTAGTTAAACCAGTACACGACTTCATTAAAAAAAACTTGTAAGTGAATCCATAATGTACATGAAAGTATTGCACGCTTCTGGTTGGCTGAGACGAGTGCATTTATCATGCAATACGAGTGCTAAGTTGTAAGACGAGTTTAAATTGTAAGTAGTGCGCGCTGTCAAATTTTCGTCAAGCTTGACTTTTTACGATGCTTTTTAACATGCAAATCGTTGAGTACTAACAAGATTTCTCGTGCAATTTGGTGTAAGTGGGCACTCGCAAATTTTTCAAACACTCCCCATTCTGTTGTCTTTAGAAAGTTTACTCGTGCTTATTACCATTAATTTTCACTCGAACTCATGTTATTACTTGCACTAATGTATTCCTGTTAAAACAATGTACAAGGCGGACCTTCCAGAAAACCACGTTAGTGTGTCAGTTGTTTAAAAGTCACATAAACAAGAGCTCCAAATTTGTGGACGACAGCTCAAATAAAGCGTTTGTTGCTTTGCCGCCTGAAATCAATTTTCTTTCTCAACGAGGATCCTATTTTTGGAAACAACTTTTCCCTTCGTAATTTCACAAGAACTGCTAAAAGTTAAGAATAACATAGCAACAAGTTTAACACTGAAGTCTTAGTAGTTGAGACATTATAATCACTCCATGTATGCTACTTGTTTCTTCGGTTCAATTCTATACTGTCGTTCTACGATACACCTTTTGAAAGGAGGAAATCAATATCTTTTACAAGGGGTTCAATCTTAGCTTATATCTGTGTATCATATTTTTCGCGCGAAATGAACTGATACGTCCAGCAAGTTTCTGGAAGATGATGGCACATTCAGCCACACGATTATTTGAAAGAGTTTTATCCTTAAAAGAGCCAAGAGGACGATATTCCAAGCAGGCTACAAAAATAAATAAGAAAGAAGGTTGGGAATACGAAGAGTTAAACGGCTAAGGAACGGATGAGAAATGCACACGACAACACCAACATTGAGGCCAACATAATTGCGGAGTTAAGCCGAAGAATGTTAATTGATGCTTATAAGTACAACGTGTATCGTTTCAAGCAGTGCTACATTTCAAACAATTTTTAATTTTCACTTGTATTTTCTAGCCCTTCTTTAAATGTGACAGGATGGTCAAATCCTCTCATTGAGGCAGATATCTCATGGACCAAGGAATTGGCGTCTGACTTGCGGAGGAGATTAGATGAAGCAGAGACATATCTCTCATATTGTAGCGGGGTCAGTATAATCATTACGGGTTCGAAACATTAGCGTCTAACTTGATTAGATGAAGCAGAGACATATCTCTCATATTGTAGCGGGATCAGTATAATCATTACGGGTTCGAAACATTAGCGTCTGACCTGATTAGATGAAACAGAGACATATCTCTCATATTGTAGCGCGGTCAGTATAATTATTACGGGTTCGAAACATTAGCGTCTGACTTGATTAGATGAAACAGAGACATATCTCTCATATTGTAGCGCGGTCAGTATAATTATTACGGGTTCGAAACATTAGCGTCTGACTTGATTAGATGAAGCAGAGACATATCTCTCATATTTTAGCGCGGTCAGTCTAATCATTACGGGTTCCAAACTCCCTACTGTTAACGTTACCATATAGTGCAACATCTTAAAGGTGACGATTAGATCCCGACACACGATGCATGAAAAAATGTCAAAATAAAAAAAAAAACACAACAAACAATTGGGTCTCTCCTCCACCCCTTCCCAGAAACACACACAGACCCTCTTGATCTGGAGAGCCTGGCTCCAGGCACAGTTTCCTTCATAATTAATTTTCTTTATCTTTATCCTGATTCAGCATGCAACAGTATATCTGCCACCCTCTTAAAGGGGAAAAGTAAATGTAAAGCGTTGGGTTTCTCCAGTGAACTATTTTTCATGTTTTTCTTTCCAGAGACCTAACACATATCCGATTCCAAAGATCACGAAGCCCTTACCTCCTCGACGATCTAACTGCCCTGAACAAAGCACACTACACCCCCCTACAGTTGGAGGGACCTTCTCGGTGACGGCCTCGTGCTCTACAGCTATATTTCTGCTCATTAGCTGTTTCGTGTTCTTGTGAACAATCAAAGATATCCCATCATGATTACAGGTCAAGACTATGTCTATTGTACATTGTTAGAGTTAACAAACAGCACTAAAAGGAATATTCATTCCATATCTTAGCCTAAAGATGATCTCTGAGAGGATTAACATTGTAGCAGACAAATAGTTTTAACATGAAGTTAACGGCCTTACGGCAAACGGGAGAATAAACTTTGATTTTCCTCAGCTTGTACTTGATCTTCTAGATCCAGTCCTTTCCAGAAAAAGGCAAAAACGAAAAATCGGAAGGGAAACGAAAGTTCCGTGCGTAGAATCATATTAAATACCGAAAAATTCCTTCACATTCGTCTGACCGAAATCGATTTTTGCCACCCGCAGCTATGTTATTATAGCGTGATCTCTTGTGTACTGCAAAACGCAATCGTTTTAGTTTTTTTCAAGAGAAGACGAGACTAAGATTACCTTCCTGATGTAAAAAATCCGCTTCTTTGCTGATTTTGCCATCGCTAGCGCTTGATAATTTGTAGCAGCTGTCGCCGTTTAGCAGTGCCTGACGTACATGGGAATGTATACTGTATTCACTTGTGCGAGGACGCATTACTCAATCATGAGCTGCAAAACTAATTCATGAATATGCAATCGCTCATGCAATGATCCAGATCATATACTGTGGTCTAATAGAACTCAGGAAAACTGTTCACTGTCCGAAGGGAGTAAGTTTCTAAAGAAGCTGTTGTGCTGCGTCAGTGGGGGGTATTACACGATGATTTGGGTTTATCAACAGAGTTGAGGTTGTAAATTGGCCACCGTAAAGAGTTTCTCAACCTTATGTTTCGAGCGTTGGCCCCTTTGAACTGTTTCCATTAGGTAGGTTTACTTTTCTGCAATGTAAATGATTTTGTTCTAGTCTTATGTAAACCCATTTTAGCACTGCCTTCTGCGCACATCAAATTGGTAGAAGCGTACGCCAGTCCCCAGTTTCCTTTTTCCTCGCATGCTTTTTTTTTTTTAGTGAGGTAATAAAATATCAGTGGAGTGAAGAAGTTACTTCCTTCCTTGGTCAATAGTGGTATTGCCCTCACAGTGTATAAAATATTTTACCTCCGTGGTTGAAGAGTTATAGGCATTAGATGTTATCTATCGGGGCTTGAAATCGGTTACTACATTTTGCAGACTTTGGAATCGAGATCGTGCGATAACCGCCCAATTATGTAATAGTGCAATCACTTGATTGGTTCCTCCAAAACATTCTCATTGGTAAGGGGTGCATGAACAATTGTCCTTCTCCTCCGCGCATATCGTCATTTTGAATTAGAGTGGAAAGGAAGTTGATCTACATGGCCTTTGTGATATTCTATTATTTGATAAATGTTATCATA